GTGGCAGCGCACCGGCGCATTCTTGCTTCGTCAGGTGCATGGGTTGCTAGCCTGGAAGCCACACAAAGCCTTCCTCTTTGTGGACGACCTGCTCTGTGCACTCTTCCGGGATAGCGCACCAGACATGTTTGCCTTAGTGGTGCTCTTCTTTTGCGCCATTGCAGCACCCATTTCGTGGAAAAAGGCGCAATTCCAGGATAGCCTGGTTTGGTGCGGTTTGGAGATCAACGTCTCTCACGACACCATTCAGCTCATGTCCGCTAAGCTAGCCAAGCTGGATGCCTTGATCAAATCCCTGTTGGGAAATCGACGTGTGCCCCGCAAAACACTCGAGCAGTGCATAGGCCTGCTTATTTGGGCAACAAGCATTGCCCTACACCTCAGGTCCTGGCTAGCACCGCTTTACGCGGACCTCAACAGCCCACCGGGCTCCACGCACTCACTGCCGTAAATGTGGTCAGCCTTTCGAGCATCCTTGACTAAGGACCTCAAAACTAGCCATAGCCTCCCGGGCTTGTGGATCACAGCGGGCTCCAAAATCTTGGAAATTTCGGGCCGCGCCATGCATTTCAAGACATTCCGCAAGTGCCTGGCGCTAGCAAGCCCACATGGGTGCGCGTCGCAGACCCCAACAACCCACACAGTCAAGCCAACAGCGCCTTACTTGGCTGGCGTCGTGCTTTCGACACTCGCCCATTCAGCCTTTGGCGCGGCCGCGCCAGCTGCAAGCTCTGGCTGCCGCCGACGCGTGTGCCGAAGATGATACGGTGGGGATTGGGGGCTGGGCAATCACATCCTCCCAAGTGGTGTGGTTCGCCGAGACCTGGAACATGCAAGACATAAGAGCCGTGTGGCCTTGCCTTGTCAAGCCAGGACAGCGGTACATCGCATGCTTTGAAACTCTTGCGCAGTTAGCACTGCTGCAAGCAACCCACAGCCACATTGGTGGTGGGCACTACTCGTTTAGCATGCCTTCCGGCGCAGATAATTCCGCCACGGAAGCAAGCCTTAACAAACTGTTCACGACCTCATGGCCGTTGCAACTTTTTGTGCAATTAACAGCCTTCTGGGCTCACGCTCACAACGTGCTGCTGCAGCCGACGCATGTTCCAGGAAGGTGCAATGATTGGGCAGACGATCTCAGCAGAGGTCGGTTGGCCCGGTTCAGCCATCGCCCTGAAAGTCGCGTACGCTTCAGCCCTGCAAGCCTGGCGATGTCAGGCCGAGGCATTCAACTATGTCCGATGCATGCGCCCTGGCGTCCGGAACATTTGGCAGCAGCCTCCGTCGTCGCTGCACCAGCCTAGCCTGCCTCCGACATGGCCTTCTAAACCCAATATCCGCCGTTGCCCTGTCAGCCAGAACAACTGGCGATGTAAGCCAGCCGCTTACTCTCAAGCCGCTCTGACCAGGAAAAAGTGCAGTCACCGCATGCCAAGCTGTTCACAACCCAGCGTGCATGGTGATGCTAGCATCTGCCCTGCCAGGTACAACCCCACTCTGAAGGGCGGGTGATGATGCCTTCGGCCCAGCGGGTTCGCTTTTACCGGGGTTGCCTGAATCACTGAAGGGGGGGTCAATGTGCCTCCTGCTCCAGGCGCACTAGTGCCCTGGAAGCAGTGCAACTTTCAGCAATCCCGGTAAAAAGAACTGCGGCCGCTTCGGACGAGCTTTGTTCTTTTGAGGTTTCATGTTTGGGTTCAAGCTAGGAGCAGTGCGACATGCCTTAACGCTTAGGGTTTCTTTTCCCTTGTGTTTAGGGCATGTGGTGAATCGAACTATGCGTTGGCCGTTTTGCTCCTAGCCTTGACCCAAACCTGCGGTTTCATTTCTGAAACCCACCCACCCGCCCTGCACTGCCCTATGCCAGGCTTTGCCAGGATAAACAGCAGTTTCTGCACTTTCGTGGGTCGCCTCCGGGCACTGTGGTCTCCGGACCAGGTCTCCGGACCAATTTCGGTCTCCGGACCTCCAGTCTCCGGACTGTCGGTCTCCGGACCTTGGGGCGTGGGCACGCATGCCGCGCCCCCCAAGCACTGCATTTACACGCAAGGACACGCATTGTCTTGCCTTTTCACATTTCGGGGGGTCAATGTGCCTCCTGCTCCAGGCGCACTAGGGGTCAATGTGCCTCCTGCTCCAGGCGCACTAGTGCCCTGGAAGCAGTGCAACTTTCAGCAATCCCGGTAAAAAGAACTGCGGCCGCTTCGGACGAGCTTTGTTCTTTTGAGGTTTCATGTTTGGGTTCAAGCTAGGAGCAGTGCGACATGCCTTAACTTGGCATTTCAAGACAAGGCCGCGCGCGAGACTGTGTCAGTTTCATCCAGTTCTGCAGTGCGGTTGATATCCGGGGCAGGCGCCCGAAAGGAGCATGCGCGGCAAGCATGTTGCGCGGCTTGCGGATTAAGTGCTTCACCGCCAGCGATAAGCATTGCTTATTTGGGCCGAGACTTTTTGTGCAGGCACACAGCGTGCAAGCACACTTTCTCTTTGATGTAGTAATAAATGTGCTTTGGATTTTGCTGTTTTCCACCACAAGCATGTCCTTGCTCAGGGCATGGCAATCCGCACCTCAGCTGTTTTCCCGTTGGCCATTTGCACTGAACGCCTGCCAACACGCCATGGTGTAACCAATCCTAAAATGGGGTTGTCTACTCGAAGATATGGCAAGGAGCTTTGCTGCGCAGTTCCCATTCTAGAGGCCCCTCGTAGCCAGGAAGCGATAGTTCCTATCAGGCATTGCCAAAAGGAGGCTTGAATGAAAGATCCGCGCATTGTACTAGACAGTGTGCGGGGTCAACCCAAGTGCAACATCGCGGAGTGCATGAGCCTCCCAACATCAAGCTTTTTTGGCGGAAGACACTGATGAGCATGGCCTGCTGCCAGTTCACTTTTCAGGTACTTTGTTTTACTATAGCGTATGCCGTTTTGGTGCTCGTTTCTCCGCATAATTGTGGCAAAGAACCGGAGCATTCCTGCTACGCATCCTGCTGGCTTCTTGGATGCTTTCCCGCATAAAGCATAGCTTTTTGTGGATGTCCTTTTAGCAGCTTTGTTCAGCAACTGGCTATCATAGTCGTTTTCTTTGCCGCCGTCGCAGCATGAATCTCTTGGGAAAAATGCAATTCCAGAACAACTTGATCTGGTGCGGATGGGGCTAAAGCCGCACAAGCAGGTACGAGGCATCTTTATGCCAGTAGGCTCTAAGGTGCTGAAGTGCAAAGGCAAGCCAATCCACTGCCCATCAGACCTGCGTCTAGTGGCGAGTAGCCACAACGCGATGTCCGCGTCTCACCAAGCCTAGCACGGCTAGCGTGGAATGGCAATTGCAGTGCTTCCAGCTGGACTTGCTGTAAGCCCTTGCTCATTTGCAGGAAGCAGCCGACGCTTGTGCTGAGGGCAGCAACGTGGACGTCGGAGGATGGTTCGCGTCTAAGAATGCGGTGGCTTGGTTTGCAGAAACTTGGGACTTTTCCATGGTCCAAGCACAGTGGCCGTTTCTCAGCAAAGAAATCCAAAGGTATGCAGCGTGCTTCGAGACGTTGGTGGAACTCGCTCATGCGCATCGCTTGGATGGCTGAAGGCCAAGCCAGGCGCAGTGTGTGTGTGTGTGTGTGTGCATTCCCACACCGACATCACAGCATCCGAAGCAGGTGTAAACAGACTGTGGGCCCACAAACACAAATGGTCAGTTGTGGCAGCGCACATACCAGGCGAGTACAACGTCTGGGCAGAGCAACTCAGGAAAGGGAACCTTACCGCGTTTGCATCCAAACCCAAAGGCCGCAAGGCTTCGTCCCACGTCAGTCGGTATTGACTTTGCATCCAGTCGATGCACCGTGGCGTCCAAAGCATCGCAGAGCATTGCAACTGCACAGAAGAGGGGGTCCTCAGAGCTTTAAAATGAGGCTCCGCATGGGATTCAGTATGCATAAGTCGAGCACGCATGTTGACTTATTTGCATCCCGGAGCCTGTACCTATGAGCAATACCAGACGAAGAAGCTGAGCGTTCTTTTTTGCATCGGTCGTTTTTTTGATTTGTTGCATGCACGTCTTAAGCTTGAAGCAGTGAACAGGTTTCTAACTTCATTATTTTCCGCAAACTTGCCAACTGCCAGTCCCGTTTTTATTGGAAACGCGAGGTGGGCTGGATTTGCATGTACTCGCACTTTGTTTGCGCGTATGCTTTCTCTTCAGAGTGTCAAACTTCTTGAAGGCACTTTTTGCACCATCAAATGCAGGAGAGATTCCCTTTTCATTCAGGCTTGATTGAGGATGGTCGCTAGTCGCTACCCAGATGAATGACTTTGTTCCAAGTGATCAGATCTTCCAAGACGGAAATTAGTTTTTTGTTTGGGTAGCGGGTTGCTCTTGCTTGTATGAATCCAGCAGCCGATCCACCGAAAAGGCTCAAAATGCCTGGGCTGTTTGTAAGTTTGGGCGAACAGCAGCTTAGGCTATCCATTTTTTCCAGCATGTTGATTTGTTGATGTTTTCTGGGCTACTTATATTATGTGTATGACGAATGTTTACTTACAGTTTAAAGTTATTAATAAATTATTTGAACTGCGGGTAGTTGCCCATGGTTTTGGCATGTTTCTACTTCATGGCACTTGACCAAATCGGATGCTTGTTGTCGAAGATCATCAACTCAAGGATTCGATTCCCAGCTTGCGTGTGATCCAAAACCCAACCAGGCATGACTAACTGAAGGAGCAAACTGTTACACGCATGATGTGCGGACAACCTTCATGATGGTACAACCATGAACTCCACACCATGTTGCTTACGCTGAGGCAAGCTCTTGAGCTTGCAGAAATGCACATCTCTGGGTTACAAACAGGAGTGGAAAACACGAAGTAAACCAACCAAATGTTACCAAAGTAACTGTGACAATGTGCTTGAGGACTCAACCCAGCTGGCCTGGGCAGGGTTGTTCTTGAGCGGCATTATCAACTTGTAGGCAACTCTCGAACACTTTTGCTCGCTGCATGCCCGCAGCAATTTTGAACAGGGACTCAGTTCTCTGAAATTCCCTTTGGATTGATTGATTTGCATATTGCCACATGCTCAGATGCATGGCTTGTGTTTACACAAAGTTTTTTCAGGCAGAGCCTGGAGACATGTTGTTCCGCTCATGCTGTCATGCAATCAGCATGTTGCTCATCCTGAGGTCATTGAATTATGGCAACTTTCGAGCAGATGGATGCAAACCAGGCAGCTTGCCCCAAACTCTGGCTTGGCATTCTGGCAGTATGCATGCATTTGTCTTGCAATTTTGTTGGTCAGATGGGGTTGTTTGTCAAAAGAAGGGACACTTTCAGAGAATTGGTTCACATGACAAAAGAAGGGTTCTTTGTTTTGGCGCACACAGACGCATGTTGTTCATGCAAGATGGGGCCTTAGACCAACGCAGGATGGAGTGGTGTCGCGAGAAGAGTTCATGTTCGGCATGATGGACCGCATTGCCTGTGCCGTGTCACACCGCAACAAGAGCCACGTATTGTTTGACAGGACCGAAATCATGATGGCACAATTTCACGAGAGGAGCCACTGACCCAGGTATGAACTTTTGCCAGAGCCAGAACATAGTTGGGGTGTGCACCATGCTGAGGTTCGCCGCTGCAATGGCAGGCCAGCTTGCCATGCTTCCAGGTGCTTGAAAGAAATCACATCGCTTCTCCGTTCAAAAGTCAGCTGAAATTGAACAGGGCACTTTCTTGGTCTGGTTTGACAGGCTACGGCGCTGCACCGGGCACAGCTCAAGGTGGCTACATGCCTGCGGCTTCTCGACACGTTGGGCCTGACTTGCTGCTGCTGCTGCCGTGCCGCTGCCCTGCCGCTGCCGCTGCCGCTGCCGCTGCTTCTTTTGTTGGCAGCATGCGCGCTTTTTCCAAGCTCGGGATGCTCGGGATTCCGGGGATGCAGAGAATGCTGGATGTTGGATATGCTTGCTGAGCTGGAAGCCAAAGATGTTTGGGATATCGGTGCTTGATTCTCGCAATGATTCTCGCAATGCTAGTGGCTTCTGGGAACGGTGACAAGTATTTGGCAAACTCGCCTCCTTGTGTTTGAACATGGACCGCGGAGCTTTCTTGTGAATCCCGAATCTAAGGCTACCACCTATGGTGTGCCAGGAACCTACGGCGCACCCCAAGGCACCTACGGCGCACCCCAAGGCGCCTATGGTGCGCCGCCAGGCACCATCATGGAGCCTGTTGCAATGCCACAAGGTTACGCACAGCCCAATATGTATGCACCTCCCACGACGTACGGCGCACCGGCCACGACCTATGCAGCCCCTGCCACGACCTATGCGGCACCTGCCACGACCTACGCGGCGCCTGCCACGACCTACGCGGCGCCCGAAACGACCTATGCAGCACCAGAGAACACGATGACATATGGGGAGCCCATGTACGGAGCCCCGATGTATGGTGCACCCGCCACCTATGCTGCCCCAGCTGGAACTGCGCCAGCCCCAACGTACGCTGCACCTGGGACCTATGCTGCACCCACCTATGCCGCACCAGCGGAGATGTACGCAGCACCCACCTACGGAGCACCAGCGGAGATGTACGCAGCACCCACCTATGCCGCACCAGCGGAGATGTATGCTGCACCCACCTACGCAGCACCAGCAGGGATGTACACCGGGCCGGCCACCACTGCAGATGCGGCCTACACCATGCCTGCCACAACTTATGCGAGCACAGATGCGCAGCCTGTCACGTACGCTGCTCCCACCACATTTGGTGAGCCGATGATGGCTCCTACCTACATGGCGGATCCTGGCATGACTGGACCTGGCATGGGACCTGGCATGGGTGGACCCGGCATGGGACCTGGCATGGAACCTGGAATGGGTGGACCCGGTATGGGACCCGGCATGGGACCTGGCATGGGTGGACCTGGAATGGGCGGACCTGGCATGGGACCTGGCATGGGTGGACCTGGACAAACTAACATGCAGCCTCCGCAGCCCCGAGCACAGCCGACAAACACTGTCATGGGCCCAGTGACGCAGGCACGGGGATTCTTCTTGCAAGAAACTGATGTGCACTTTGTGTGATCATTGAAGGTCAAGGTGCCAGTGGAAAGCTTCATGGACCATGCCAGAGCTACCATGACGAATCTCAGCTGCAAGATGCAAGCATGAACAAACGCTAGGCTTTGTTGAGTCCGCAATGGTCCCACCACGAGATCAGAACCTGCTTTGGCCTTTGCAAATTGTTAGTGGTTTCAACTCTGGGATTTCGCATCTGAGGCTTCACAACGCTCAGATGCATGCAACCCGCGAGCAGGGCCAGCCCCAATACATTGCAGGCATTGGTTCAGAGGTGGATGCGCAGGCGCAGGCCTGGTATGTTGGGGCTTGGTCACCGCATATTCCGTGTGGTTGATTGATCTTGTCTCAGGTAATGATGAACCGCCAGGAGCAAGTCGTGCCCGGGCAGGTGAGGCAGCAGGCGGCTGCTCGTTTTGAGACGGAATGCATCATTGCAGTGTTTTACATCAACAATTTTAGAAATGGTTGGTAGCATGTGTACTATGTACAAAGCAGAGCTCAGAGCTTGCTGACCTGCTTGCCCAATAAATAAAAAGGGTTTGGGAACCAAACTGTCTTGTCTCCTTTCACCCAAGCAGCAATAGCAGGCTATTCACTTTTAGTCCTTGTTCTGCGTGAATATCACAATCAAGTGCAAGTGTGTTCGCACACCTGGCTGTCTTCTTGATCGCAGATTGTGGAGATTCCCACTGTGCAAGAAATCATCGAGGAGCAGGAAGTTCCAGAGGCTTGACAGGGACACGTATGGGCAAGGGTTGCCCCAAATTGCATGGCTGTCGACCAGGTGCAGATTGTCAACAAAGTGGTGGAGGCAGTGTGACATATTGCTTTTCTGCAAGCCATTTAGCATTTATATGGTTTAACACGTGCTTCAAAAGCAACATCCATTGTCTCTCGTCTCCTTGCGAGCCTTCATATGTCTTTCATTCAGTGTATCTTGGACCATGGATAGGTCCCACAAGTGGTGCAACAACAAGTGGAGCAGATTGTGGAGCAGGTCGTCGAGGTCTGGGTGCAAGTCGTAAGTTGTAAGTGGAAGCAAAGAGGTCCGGCGCACGCTGTTTTGAATTTCACATATCGACCGCATCCGTCTGCTCAAATCTCTGTCGAGGTGCCTCAGATCATGCCGCAGAAGCGGGTGCAGCATCGATCCGTGGAGCAATTTGCAGCTTGTTGCGCAATTGATTTAGCGAGGGGTCTGTGCACGGCCAGCATTTTTCAGTGCGCTGGCCACGGGATCGATATGTGACGGCAATTTGTTTGAGTGAATCAATCTTCCAAGGTGGATATTCCAGTGCCACAGATCGTCGAGGAGGTGGTGCACATCCCGGTGGCGCAGACCCACGCTCGTCAGGATCTGAGACCTGAAGCACCCTCCGACCTTGCTCCGCACCCTACGTTTTCCGTTGGCCAAGCTTAAGGCCAGCACCACAGGCACGTGGAGCAGGAAATCCAAGTGCCCGTCCCGATGACTCAAGAGGAGGTGGTGCACGTTCCGAAGGTGTGGAATTCTCATTTCGATGTCTCATGCATGGAGAGAGAAACATTTGAGCCGGTAGATGAAGGTTAGTAAGTGGGGTTCGTCCCAACCATAAATGGTTGCAGCCGCCATTTTGATTTATTTGATTTCTAATACCAGGTTTTGATTATGACTCATTTGGCGGATGCGTCCGTGCTATGCATGGCTGGTGTAGGTGATGACCCAGACCCGAGTACAGCAGCAACACGTTGAGCAAGTGGTGGAAATTCCGGTGCCGATGCAACAGGAGGAGATCGTGCACGTGCCCAAAGTTATCACGCAGCAGCGCGTTCAGCAGCGCCACGTTGAGAAAATTGTGGAGGTCCCGGTGCCAATGGTACAGGAGGAGGTCATTCATGTTCCCAAGGTGATTACGCAGACCCGGGTGATGCAGCAGCAAGTGGAGCAAGTGGTGGAAGTGCCAGTGCCAATGACACAAGAGGAGGTCGTACACGTGCCAAAGGTGATCACGCAGACACGGGTGCAGCAGCAGCATGTGGAGCAGGAAGTTCAGGTGCCTGTGCCCATGACCCAGGAGGAGGTCGTGCATATTCCCAAGGTGATGACGCACACGCGTGTGCAGCACCAGCATGTGGAGCAGGAAGTTCAGGTGCCTGTGCCCATGACCCAGGAGGAGGTTGTGCACATTCCCAAGGTGATGACGCACACGCGTGTGCAGCACCAGCATGTTGAACAGGAAGTGCATGTGCCTGTTCCGATGACCCAGGAGGAGGTTGTGCATGTGCCAAAGGTGATCACCCACCAGCGAGTGCAGCAGCAGCATGTGGAGCAGGTTGTAGAGGTGCCCGTGCCAATGACTCAGGAGAGGAAGTCTTTGATTTAGCATCACTCTGTTCAAGCTCGGTCAATTAAGACTATCGTGGGTTTTTGGATGATGAATGCTGGAACCCAACTGGTTTGCTTGTGCAGGAGGAAGTGGTGCACGTGCCCAAGGTTGTGCAGCACGAGCGCGTGATGCACCAGCAGGTGGAGCAGGTTGTCGAGGTGCACGTGCCCATGACACAGGAGCCTTGCATATGTAGATGAACGGTGATGACTTATCATGCCTCGGTCTTACTGCACTTCCAACAAAACAAGTGCTTGCATGGGAGGAAGAGGTCGTGCACGTGCCGAAGGTCATGCAGCATGAGCGCCAGCACCACTTCCATGTGGAGGCAAGGGAACAGGATGGGCTGTGACTCAGAACCTGCACTGCACTTGGCAGGAGATTGTGGACGTGCCAGTCGAGCAGCATATTGAGCAGGTAGTCCATGTGCCTGTTGTGGCTTGGCGCCTGAATTTCACAGCTGTTTCAGTTTCAGATTGTATTTTTTTGAGCATGTCATTCCGTCGAGCTTTCTTAGCCTTGCTTCCATTTGGTTTCAATCTTTCTTTGCTTTTTTTGCCTGGTTATTTCCTTGCACCTTGGATTTTTTTTGACTTGCCTTTGCCGTAGCTTAGATGATGCACACAATTGAAAGCTTGCCAAATGCAGTGGTTGGACTGACTTCATTTTTGTTTTCACACATTTGATGCTTTCCGTTTTTGCAAAGTAGATCATGTCTGTACATGTGATCGAGACGTGTCGCAAGGTGAACAAGGTTGAGCGCGTGGTGCACAATCCTGTGGACCTAATGGTGGAAGTTCCCCGTCCAGTTGTCGTCGAGAAAACAATTGAGGCTAGCTGCAGCTTTGACATGGTGCGTGGCATCATATTGTGGGCCGTTGATCAAAACGGGTCATGATTGTTACTGACTACTGTTCCTTGATCACACGAGCATCCCTTTCTTTAAAGTCAAGGCTGCATTTAAGTGCAAGGGCCATTGAGTGCAGGTGCCCAAGATTCAGATCGAAGAAAAGACCATCAGGGTGCCAAAGGCGGGACAGCTCAACATCCAGCGGCTTTGTGCTTTTTTGTACTCATTTATTCATGTGTAGCCTCATTCTCATCATTTGTCTGATAGATTCTTTGTCATGCTTGAAGCGTGGCTTGGATTTGCAGCCTGTTCATGAAAGTATTGCTCACCCGGAGGTGATGCATACCACGGTGGACACAGTCGTGCAGAATCAGGTTGAGACCATTGAGGTGATTAAGCCCACGGTGGCTCCCCACCCAGCTTTGTTTTTGACCAGGCTAGTCCAATCAAATCCGTTCACTGAGGTTCACAAGGTGGTGCAGCGCAAAAAGCCGGTCATTCAGGAGCAGGTGCAGCATGTGCCGAAGGCTCGCTGACATTCATGCAACCGGATTTCAGGCTTTCTTGCTTCATTTCAGTGTGTGTGTGTGTGTGTCGGCATTTCTAATGGATGTTTGCTGGCAGGTCATGGTGCAGCATGTGCCCGTCCAAAAGGTCGTGCAGAGGGAGGCCGATCCTGTTAGTAAGAGGTAGAACTGCATGCCTTTGGTTTTGTGGTAAGATGCTTTTGCAGGCCTTTCACCAAAGCCACAGTCCAATGTTGGCATTTTGAACATGGTAGCAGGTTCACGTTCCGCAAGTTCAGTACATCGACGAAGTGGTGGACGTGCCAGTGGTGCAGCACAGGTTGGGGGAATGTTGATCGTTCGTTGGCCCTACCAAGAGTCTCGCTGCTTCAGTGGTGTGGCATGCTGTTGCCCAAAGGCAAGTGCCAGTGCCAATGAAGCAGCAGAAGTCGATCGAGGCTTGGCCATAGTTGCTTTGTGTCGGGGCGCCGCTCGGTGCCAAGTTCGGTTTGCGGGTTTTGGTTGTGCTCCACAGGTAAGTCTTGTTTAGAGGACCCCAAAACGTTGGTTTCCTCTTTGGTTTCCCTTTAAAACCCCCAAACAACGCGTTCCCTCAAAAAGGGCAGGCCCATGAATTTGCGTTTGCTTGTTGTTCTTGGCCTGCAGGTGCCTCAGGTTGAGTATGTTGACCACCACATCGATATCCCTGTGCAGAAGCATGTGCTCTTGGCTCGCACCGAAAACCGGATGCTCATGAATGGATTCTTGCAAACGTTTGGCTTTGTGACTTCTCGCGTTTTTGGATGCCACGAAAGATTAATTTCATGGCCAAAAAGGTGAGACCTAGCTGCTGAGGTGCATGTGCCAATGGTGCAGACGGTTCAGAAGACCGTTGAGGTGCCTCAGGTCCAATACGAAGACCAGGTGGTGCACGTGCCCATCCAGAAGCATGTCCAGGTGCCTGTGGTTCAGAAGGTGCAGAAGACGGTGGAGGTGCCTCAGATTCAGTACGAGGATGTTGTTGTCGACATTCCGGTGGAGAAGGTTGTCCACGTTCCAGTGGTGCAGAAGGTGCAGAAGACGGTTGAGGTGCCTCAAGTCCAATACGAAGACCAGATTGTCCATGTGCCAGTTCAGAAGCAAGTGCACGTCCCCATGGTGCAGAAGGTGCAGAAGACGGTTGAGGTGCCTCAAGTCCAGTATGAGGATCAGGTTGTCCACGTGCCGGTTCAGAAGCACGTGCATGTCCCCATGGTTCAGACCGTGCAGAAGCACGTCGAAGTGCCTCAAGTCCAGTATGAGGATCAGGTCGTCCACGTGCCGGTTCAGAAGCACGTGCATGTCCCCATGGTTCAGACCGTGCAGAAGCACGTTGAAGTGCCTCATGTCCAGTACGAGGACCAGGTCGTCCACATTCCAGTGCAGAAGCATGTGCCGTGGGCTTGCACTTGAACCCTAATCATTGAGCTGTGGCAGACCATATTCACTGTTTGACCATGGTGATTCGGGGCGTTTGGCTGACTGCATCTGAGGTGCATGTGCCACATGTTCAGACCGTTCAGAAGACCGTTGAGGTGCCCCAGGTCCAATATGAGGACCAGGTCGTCCACGTGCCCGTCCAGAAGCACGTGCATGTTCCTATGGTTCAAACCGTGCAGAAGTCGGTCGAAGTGCCTCAGGTGGAGCCTCTTGTACGCAGTGATCGAACTTGTTTCAGGGCTCATACATGGCATTTGTTTGCTCCGAAGTAGCTGCAGCGAGCCTCCCAGGTTTGTGGACAAGGTTGTTCCGATTCCCGTGCAAAAGCCAGTGCACGTTCCCATGGTTCAGACAGCCACCTGGACTGCATATGTCTGGACAGCTCGCCCTCTCTGTGCAGCTTGCAACAAACGGATGCTTCCATGACAACAAGCATGTGTTGCATCAGCATGCCGGCAGCGTTCTGGAGGTTCAGAAGACCGTCGAGGTTCCCCAGATTGAGTACATCGTTTCTCGTGCCAATCAGCACCTTTTGAAGTTTGGAATGCTGGCCTCTTTGAGCACACCAATGCCACCCTTGCATACATGATCTCTATCAAGGTGTATCGTAGATCTATTCCGGCCCCATTGACAATGCTAAATATGTGAGTTGGCTTGGATCACTGACCTGCGGCGACCCAGGACAACCATGTGCACATCCCTGTGCAGAAGCATCGCCACGTGCCGGTCCACATCCCCATTGAGAAGCCAGTGGAGGTGCTTTTTTTTGGCACAAGAAGAAGTGTCGACGTGCTGCGCGTTTTTGGATGAGTTGCGATGTGAGAGAAGTATCTGCTGAGAGATGCACACTGCACAACGCACACACACACACAATCACATGCGCTACGAAGTCTTCAGCTGAGGTGACCGTGATCGAGACCACCGAGAAGATTGTGGACGTGCCAGTGGTTAAGCAGGTTGAAGTGCCGCAGGTGCTTGGAAGTACAGTTTCTCCACATGCTTGTGAATCGCAGCATTTCAAGCTTTTTGCCACGAACAGGTTCAGACAATCGAGAAGATTGTTGAAATTCCAATGGCGCAGAACTTAGCAAGTGGCTTGAGCTGTTGTGATACCAATTGTCATGATTGCAACAACATATATACTTACTAGAGAATAAACAACACTTACCACATCACCATAATAAAGACACCCTTTCTTGGAGATTCCTTACTTCACATTTCCGGACATATTGTATATGCACATGATGCGCTATGCACTCACCCATATGGTGATTGTCATGCCTGCAAAAAAAACATGTTTGGACTGGGCTTGACTCTGGAATTCGCAACCTGAGGTTCAGACGGTGGAGAAAGTTGTGGAGGTGCCTCAGATGGGGCAAACGAGCCAGGGCAGCACTCGGCAAGTGGACATCCCGCTGCAGCCGAAACGCGAGGACGGGGACTTCTTTCCATGGCTTGGTGCTGTCAAGCCAGGGTGGGCAAGGAACTTTGGGAACCTTTTGCCTTACCGGTCTGGCGTTGACAGCTGCTTGGGCAGGAGCACCCTGCGCAGCACGTGCAGCAGGCGAGTGATGGCAGCATGCCTATTGGTCATCTTCCAGCCCAGTAATTTGTCCAGAAATTGTCAAGAGTTGACATGCTGCGCGTCAATCTGATGCAGATAAAGAGGTTGGATCAGATTCCGGTATTTATTTTGTGTTGTTCTCACCTTACTTCAAATTTTCCAAGTCAGTGATTTGGCTGAAAGCGTTGCCTCCTGCGCGCTGTGCAGGTTATGGCCGGCCCCGACCACCCTGTCCATATGATGCAATCAGACGGCCAGGCGATACCGCTCCAGTGATGCATATGCGACATACAGACAACGGGCGTAAAAGACAGAAGCCAGCATTGCTTTGACACGCATGCTTACAAGTTGGCCGCTTCGTGAGTGACTTCGCAGGTGGTTCCGATGCAGGGTCAACAAATGATGATGCAGCAACAGATGCCAATGACTTATCAGGCCTGCAGAGTGACACTCAGCAAGTTTCGGAATGCCCATCTCGGTCAGGGCCCTGGTGGGTCTGTCTCCGCTGGCCAGCCGGGCACCAGCGCGGTGCGCCCGTGTGAGCAGAGTTGCCGAGAGTAAAAATTGCCCATGCGGACATGTCAACGTGGCCACCAGCCTGAAACGTGCAGGATCGCGCGTGATTGGGCTGTCACGTTCGAGTGGCTGAGTGAGCCAGGTATCGATGCCACCTACAATGGTCCCCCAGGTCGGGACTCGGAGATTGGGCGGGCAACCGGTTGTCAGCATGGGGAATCTAATACCATGTGACGTGTGGTTCTGCATTTGATAGCCGTTTTCATTTTCATGCTCAGCTTCGGGCGTACAGGAGCCAATGATGAACACAGCGTGAAGGAAGACATCGCGCTTTGGACTGCGATTTGGTGCTATATGCTTTGCCTTTGCATGGCAAATCTCCTTGCGAGGCTTCTCAAGTGAGAAGCACAGGATTTTTCCCCATTCTTTTTGAGACTTCTCTGAGAGTACGACGTCACTGGCCAGCTTTGTTTATCGTCAATCATGTTTCGTGAAGATGTGCTCCCAGCAAGTCACCGAGAGCCTGCAGCTCAATTTATTTCTAAGCTTCATAGTGTGCTCGTGCCGAGAAGGCAGGAGGGCTCAGTTGGCTGCACCGCATGGCCTGAGACCCGTGCGTGGAACCAGCAGCTCCTCCATCCTTCATGTATTTCACACACCCTGCCTGCGACGGGCTTTTTGCCGGCAAGGTCCACGTGACTTTGCCATTGTTTGAGATAACAGAGCTGGACACCCCAAATTGCCAAGTGCCCAAGTGCCCCATGCCCGATCTGTATCTTGGGGTGCCAGCCCCTGCTGCTGATGTGGTTGATGTCTGCGGCCGTTGCTTTAGATGGAAAGACCACAAGACAGGGCTTGACCTGGGGCGGTCGGAACTCTGTGTGACAAGCAGCATTGGTTTTCATTTTAGCATGCTTTTGGTTCGGGCGCACTAAGCACTGCTCGCAGAGCAGATGCAGTCGCGCACCGGAAAGGTCTTTCCGCCTTTTGCGTACCATTACTTGAAAGATCTCTCATGACGCCAAAGCTTGCTGATGCTACAGAAAATTTGAGCGATTTGCCATGACGGTGTTGGACACTTTTAACGTTGGGGCCTATTTCAATCACAGGTACGAGTCCCAGATGATCTGCCCTTTTGCCCGGTAGCCATTATGGCCGAAGAAGCGAACCATGAAGCAGCTGCATAACAGCGGCAATTCCCGAATGGACATGTAAGCAGTCGGGGAAGGTTACTGTCAGAGAATCCAGCAATGGCGAGTTTCGAGCAAATGGATGCCAACCAGGCTGCGGCACAAGGGACACACGTTGAAGCTCTGCAGTAGAATCCCTGCCATCTGCGATTGGACGAGAATTGTGAATTCATGCAGAGCCAAGATCACATTTGTCATAGATGCAGACTTCATGATGACCTTTGATTCCCACAACGCTCATGTTTTTGCTGGCATGCTCACCGAAGTGGCACTGTGGCAGCGACACAATTCCGCCAGGATGGGGTGATCTCCCGCCAGGAGTTCATGTTCGGAATGATGGACGGGCCCTCCCGGGGGCACTGAGATTTCATGCAGCTGTGGAATGGACGGACTTTGGCCATCTTACATCGGAATGCTGGTAGTTCAGGTCTAGACGCCAATCAAAGATGCACTGCAACGGAATTCGAATCAGTGGCCACTCAGTCGCCGGTGAGCATGCCTAGAGTACAACATCTTCAGGTCCACACCTGTTTGTGATTGCTCTGTCCCTCCAGGACCGCAATCACGATGGCCAGATCTCGCGTGAGGAGTCCCCATCCCAGAGACGGATTGCGTCGTTTTCTCAAAGCGAGTTATTTGAGGCTCGGAATTTTATTGTTGAAAGGCTGGCTGTCTTTGTTGCGTACCGTCTTATCGAGCTTTGGTTGAGCAATTACTCACCCAGGTTCGCTGCTGCGATGGCTGGCATGAACCCCGCACCAGGTTGGGCGGACTGTTTGGGCTGGTTCTGTAGGAGTCACATGGCAGGCACGGGTACTGTCTATGGTGCTCCGGCTGGATATGCCCCTGCCATTTGGACGCATTTCAGCAGCCAAAACTCTCGTTGGCCGCTTTAGTAGTTTTTGTGCTACTTGTTCATGGGGTATGCGCAAGGCTATATAAACCCTTATAATCATTTTGGTAGAACGAAGAGTCATTGGGCTTTTGGAGATGGCCCTGAGAGTGCCTGGTATGTCCTGTGGAATGTGACCATGCAAAAATGCAAAGTGTCCGAATGCGTGACCGCAAGAGGCTTCAGACTTGGAGTCATCGAAGGCAAACTTTTGCGATCGAAGACGGGGCACTTCGATTCAAGCCCCGGGCCAGCTTGGGCCCATAGCCACATTTGCAGCAACTATAGATGAGGACATTGGCAGCATGTTTTCACTTTCGCCCTTCTGAGACGCCAATGTTGGGAAGACTTGACGGTGAAACACAAAGCACGGAAACAAGATCCGGCCTTGTTGTACTTCGAGTTAACCAAAGCTCACTTAACATCAGACGTAAAGATGATGTGGAGCCACCCTTATGAATACAACTGTCGCTTTTGGTCTCAAAGTTGGTGATGCACAACAGCGCTGATGAGGATTCTGAGTAAGCTGTTTGGGCAATTTGAAGGTTCTAGTGACAACTTGTTTAATTGTTTGCTTTTGATATTGGTGTGTTTCCAAACAAGTGGTCTAACTTTGTTTTCCCGAGAGCCGCTTACACCAGAGCACAAGTTCAAGCACACATTCCAACAGCGGTCACTGCAAGTAGCGAAGCAGTTGTCGAAAGCTTGCACGTACTTGTGATGAGTTTGCCGACTCTTTGTGGTCTAACAGGACTCAACACACAACATAGGTTTAAAATGCCAGACTGGTTTGGTCTTTGATCAAATTGCTTGGTATGTGATAACAGCACCTAAGAATGAAGACTTGTACACGTTGACTGTGCAGCTGGCGAGCTTAGGCCACTACTTACGGTGCTCCGCCTGGCACTATCATGGAGCCGGTGGTGATGCCGCAAGGTTATGCGCAGCCCAATATGTACGCCGCGCCTCCCACGACCTATGCAGCCCCTGCCACGACCTATGCGGCACCTGCCACGACCTACGCGGCGCCTGCCACGACCTACGCGGCGCCCGAAACGACCTATGCAGCACCAGAGAACACGATGACATATGGGGAGCCCATGTACGGAGCCCCGATGTATGGTGCACCCGCCACCTATGCTGCCCCAGCTGGAACTGCGCCAGCCCCAACGTACGCTGCACCTGGGACCTATGCTGCACCCACCTATGCCGCACCAGCGGAGATGTACGCAGCACCCACCTACGGAGCACCAGCGGAGATGTACGCAGCACCCACCTATGCCGCACCAGCGGAGATGTATGCTGCACCCACCTACGCAGCACCAGCAGGGATGTACACCGGGCCGGCCACCACTGCAGATGCGGCCTACACCATGCCTGCCACAACCTATGCGAGCACAGATGCGCAGCCTGTCACGTACGCTGCTCCCACCACATTTGGTGAGCCGATGATGGCTCCTACCTACATGGCGGATCCTGGCATGACTGGACCTGGCATGGGTGGACCTGGCATGGGACCTGGCATGGAACCCGGCATGGGACCCGGCATGGGACCCGGCATGGGACCCGGCATGGGACCCGGCATGGGACCCGGCATGGGACCCGGCATGGGACCCGGCATGGGACCCGGCATGGGACCCGGCATGGGACCCGGCATGGGACAAACCAACATGCAGCCTCCGCAGCCCCGAGCACAGCCGACAAACACCGTCATGGGCCCGGTGACGCAGGCACGGTTCTTTTGTTTCAAGTGGCTGATCTGCATGCTGCAAGAAAGCATACTTTGACACATGTGATCAATGAAGGTCAAGGTGCCAAGCGAAAGCTTCATGGACCATGCCCGAGCCACCATGACGTTTCTCGACTGCAACACGCAAACCATCGGCAATTCTTTGCTCCACGTGCACGCCTTTTCAACTTTTGCTTGATGCGTGCAGAGAAGACGCACTCAGATGCCTTAGCAGGTTGTTTTGGACACCTGCCCGAGAATCAAATGCACTGGTCGTGTTTTCTCGTCCAAAGCTTTGCCCCAGCATCCAACGACAATTTCCCGATGCCATTCCTTTCTTGGATTGCTTTTGTCGCGTTGCGCTTCGCATGCGGTTTTGGTGGCTGCCACTTGCCCCACTTGGCCACTTGGTCTACGTAAATGGCCCAGTGGCCAAGTGGACCGAGTGGCCAAGTGGCTCCACTTGGGCGGCCGAGTGTCTGCCTTACGTGGAAAAAAAACTGCGCCCCTTCGCCTGGTGGGGCCCTTGGCCGCTTGGTCCACTTGGTCCACTTGGTCCACTTGGCTCATTACCCCACGTGCTGTCCCTTTGGCAACTTGGTCCGCTGAATCTGTTGGTCATTTTGAAAACCCAACAGTTTTTTGCTAAATACTTGAACTTGGCGAAATAACATTTTTCCAATTGATAGTATATTCTTAGGATTACTCAGACAGCTCGCCATTAGAAGATCATGTTTCTTCAACGCAGATCTGTAACAACCGTCTTTAATCAATACCAACATACAATTACACCACCCATTCTTTTTTGATCCAATTACATGAGACTAGTTTTAGTTTCTCATCAACAGCATGTTTACAATGCTTACATATTTCGGATTGAGCATCTCGAGCCTGATACTTTTTGGTTGAACACATATTTTCCATGACTTGACCACTTGCCCCGCTTGACCACTTGTCCCGCTTGGCCGCCTTGGCCACTTGCCTCACTTGGCCATTTTGCCGACTTGGTCCACTCGTCCTCGTGTCTTCATGCAAAAACCGCCCTCGAACCCCCCATCTCCGAGAGTTGGCCACTGGGCCACTTGAGCCACTTGCCCTGGCTCCGCTTGAAGACTTGGGTGTTGTCCACTTGGGTAGCCCCTTTGCAGGAAAACACCGCAGACTTGGACCACCTGCCCCACTTGCCTCACTTGCCTCACTTGCCCCACTTGCCCCACTTGGCAACCTGGAGCAAGTGGCCAGTGGGGCAAGTGGCAGCAACCACCTGGCACTTGATCAATGATCAAGTGGACCAAGTGACCAAGTGGCCATGTGGTGCAAAATCTTTCGCATGTAGTCTGAGTGGAAGTGGCCGAAATGGTCTCAGTGACTCTACCTTTCGGACTTTGCGCGCACCGTCTTATTGGCACTTTCCAAGCACCTTTAATGGACTGAGGATGCACAATGCCCAGATGTGTGCGGTGACCGAGCAAGGCCAGCCTCAGTATCTCGCCGGCATCGGCACCGAGATTGACGCCCAAGCCCACGCGCCTTGGATACATGGGTGTCTTTGTTAGGGAGGCGTTTTTGTTTTTTGGGGTAACCCAAGCAAGCAAGAAGGAAGAGTTGAGAATCCTGCAGAATGGTTGCATCGAGTCTGTGCACTTGATTTCATTGGTTGTGCCCGACAGGTGCAGACGCAGCGCCAGGAGCAGGTGGTTGCTGGTCAGATCAAGCAGCAGGCGTGGGTCCAGTTGTGACTCGAGTAACGAAGCGTCAGAAGATGAATTGAAGCACATTGCACTCCTTGTGCAGATCGTTGAGATCCCAACCATGCAAGAGATCGTGGAGGAGCAAGAAATTCCTGAGGCCATGCCACTCAAGAGTGCGGGGAGTCACAACATGTGAGAGGGTCCTTTGCTGTCCTTCAGGTGCAGATCGTGAACAGAGTGGTTGAGGCACTCAGATTGTTCAGAGAGCTCAGTTCTTGTTTTCAAACTGTTGGAGCTCCACGTCAGGTGCCACAGGTGGTTCAGCAGCCTGTTGAGCAAATTGTGGAGCAGGTGGTTGAAGTGGGGCTCTTGGTGTTGTA